TGTTTATTATTGTAAACATAATATTCATGAAAGAAAATGATATTTTTAAGAGTCATTCATATCATTTCTGTATAAACTCGTTTTTCTTGTAAAAAATGGTATATTAGTGTTCATGATAAGATTACCAACACCTTTATGTGAGATTTTTAACTGCTTAAAGCGTCATTATATGAAGTACTTTGCTGCGTGGTAAAATGCTGTAGTTAAAACCATTCTAAACGAAATTGATAGAAAATTCCAGGTCATGTTCATATATATTCTGTGTAGCTTATTATAAACTTTATCAGTTTATTAACTCGAGCGTTATCAGAATTCCACTAAGTATTTTACTCTTTTCTTATAAAAATATTAACGAATTACACAATACATTAGTATAGTTTTTAGTCGAGATAGAAGACACATAGTGGGCGAATTACATAGAGCACATGGACATGACTATGACTTGTTTTCGGTCAAAATCACGTTTTTTCCGTTAAAAGATTAGCTTCTACTACTAAGAAAAGAATGACTGATGAAAAAAATGAAGTTAAAAAAAAGTTTTGCGCCGAAAATTCTTCAAGAGGTCCCGTACCCTAAATTTTTGTCTATAGATTTTTATTTTTTAAACTAACAAACTATAGGTCTGTTTCTCGCGCTGATTCTGAGTCTGTCGTTGCTTTTGTCTAAAAGTGCTTCTGAGCGGAGAAAATCGTGAAAAAAACCTGAAAAACCAAGTTGTTTTGAAAGACCTATATCTCAGTCCAGAAGCATTTGCGCATCTTTGCGCTAGCTGAATATATGTCTCAGATATAGAAGAACATTCTCTGGAAGTTTCGCCGACATCAGATTAGTGAAAAAAATTGGGTGACCAGCTTTACTAAAGACGTCTTTTCGGAAAACGCTTAGCGTAAAAAGAACAATTATTTTTTCCTAACTAAAAGTCAGAGAACGAAAACTCTCTTTATAAATAGGTAGAGCAGAAGTTCTATTTTTAGAATATATATATGATTTATTGTCCAACTCTTTTTACTTTTCACAAAAAGTAATGCTTTTATCTAAAGGTACTGAAATTTGACTATTTTTCCGACTAAGGTTTTCTAATGAATATAGCAGTTGGAACAAAAACTTTTTACCAAAAAACTGGTCGTTAATCAAAGTGCATAAGTTACTATTCAAATCTCGAAAAAGCTCACTTTCATTTTTTGACCTAATGTCCACGTTGTTGCCCACTCCGCGGCAGGTATACAATTTTCTATTCCGTTTGTTCATTTTTTTTATAACTAAACTGTATATTACGTAAGCTCTCTCACTCTGTGTGCAATTCTTGATATTTATTTTATACAATGGACACTATTTCTAATGATGTGCTTTTTTTCGCTGAAAAAACAGGTATAAAAACGATCTTACGAAACCATTGAATGATTGAATAATTCTTATTCATATAGATAATTAATTACATCAGGGAAACAAAAAATTAAATATATTTTAGAGATCGAGCAGAGGGAGAAGATAGCCTGTCCATTGTGAAGCATTAACTGAACTAGATATGATTAAACCATAATATAACAAAAGAAAATAAATCCATGAAAAAACAATGAATTTTCGGGAAACTATGATGGTTTTCCTTAAAAACAAAGAAAATTCGACAGATTATTTTCTAGAGAAGGTACAACGCTGACTCTTTCTGTGGTATTAATAGACTATAGAACAATCACAGAAAAAAATTCCAGTTCAAACTTGGCTGTTCTTATCGAGATACAAAACGTTCGTGTTTTTGTATCAGCGAAACAAAAAGAATTTAGAATTCTTGAAAGAAGTTCTATGGGGACAAATCCTTTTAGAGTTTTTTTAGGGCACTTAATCCAGGACAGGGCTGGGCAACTCCAACTCCGGAGTTGGGCGATTTTTAAGTGGAGTTGGAATTTTTTTGAACAGAGTTGTCTTTTATTCATTCTTATTTTCAACTCCGTGTAATTGTTTTTGTTACGCTTTCTTTTCTTCAAAAAAAGAGTGACGCGTACATAGGAAAATAACCACTATAGTTCTTTCTTTGACATGTGAATATACGACAGAATTCATATCAGACATTTGTGTATGTGTGTGCCTTCGTTTCTTTCTTAGATTCTATTTTGCCTATTCATTCTTTTGTACATTGACTGTAAACTAGAGGTCTGCGGGACCAAACGTTTTTGGTCCCGGTCCCGTGAACAAAAAAAGTTTTGGTCCCGGTCTCGGTCCCGTGGAAAGAACTCATTTTTGGTCCCGGTCCCCTAAATACTTTTTCAAAGAAATTTTTTTACTTCATACAAGACTATTTTCAAAAAAACCTGATCGCGGTCCTATTAAAAGTTCCACGGGACCGTCCCACAGACCTCTAGGTCCCGGTCCCGTAAAAAGTCCCGCGGGACCGGGACTGGAACTGTCCCGCAGACCTCTACTGTACACTTCTTCATCAGTATAGATTTCATCATCTTTTTCGTAGCTATATAAAGGAAAAAAGGAAAAGGAAAAGGAAAAACACAACCGGAGTTGAAACGGAGTTGCGAATTTTTGAAATGAAGTTGGATCGCAAATTTAAAAATGGAGTTGGAGTTGAGCTTCGGCGCAGTTACCCAGCTCTGCTCCAGGAACTAGCATAGACTATTGAAAACGGATTGTGTTACCCGGAAAAGTTTCCCCGTTAGTACAACAGTTTATATAAAAATATATTCGGTTCACTACTGATATAAGGATATCGACTATTGTGATGGTTAGTCTTTTACTTCTTAGTGAACGCAAGCAAGATTTGCACATGTGAATTTCTCTTTCGGTTTCTTCTTATTTTTTCTTCGATATAGAATAGTTGAAGAAGAGCACTATGACATTTAAAGGATGTGGAATATTTGTCATTCAACTTATTCATGCATTGTGTTGTTTTTACTTGTTCTTGAAATTACGATGTCTGTTTCCTCAAAAGATAACGTTCAATAAATACAGATAAAAGGCAAGAGAAACAGATTTTTTTATCTTTGAAAAACTGATGTTTTCTTTCTGATGCAAGGCATTATGTGTCCTTTAACTGACCAAAAAATGCCATTTCACGAGGTAAATGCAATAAAAAATGGTATTTTAGTTTGAAAGTGTTTGAATAAAGTTTTCTGACTAAATCATTATGATGTAAAATAACATCTTCAAGTTGTCTGACCGATATTTCATCAATTTCTGACGAATAACATAAACTAACAATATCCACTAATAATAAAATCGCATCTTAAGACTCATATTTAGAATATAGTTTTATTTTCCTTCTATCAAAACGCAGATATCCTCTGGACATAATTTTGTTATACTCTGGAGAAAATCAGCTATAAACAGGTTTAAAAAGATACAAAATAATCATAAGAAAGAAGTTATATTCTACAACACCGTCACCTAGAACTTGGTCCAATAAACCGTATTTAAGTGCTGATGAATCACAGGCAGCTATTAGACGTTTCGATACTTGTCGGGATCGGTAATCTCGTTGTAGATTTAATAACGTCCAATAAATGAAAAATACTTTGTGTACTCTATGTGAAACCGCATTTTGTGATATTCAAATCATCTAACACATAAAAAGTGAAGCAAATGAGCATAATATATTGATACCAGAATTGAGCTCTATTTTAAGAAAGTGGTGATCATTAAATGCCGGATGAGAACGCACAAAACCACGATCAGACACATCTGTCATCACAGGATACGTTGAGGTTATTGCTCGATTCAAATCATCTGGAACATCAGATAATTTTAAAAACTGAGATATATTATTGAGGAAAGTTTATTTTATTATATTTATTTTATTATTATTTTATTTATTTATTTTATTTTAAAATAAATAAAATAAAATAAAATAAAAAATAAAACCATCTGTTCTGGTTTATTTTTGTCTCTATGATAATAAATTATACCACTACATAGAATAGGAAGTCTAACGATGAAGACATTTATTTTAGGACTATTGTCGAATTTATATAGTTATCCATTGCCTTCGAGAAGAAGAAGTATGATAACGTGATTAGATTTGATCACTTGCTTGCTGCAGACAATGACAAAATATATGAGTAAATAATTCGCTGTGCTACCAGATAACCAAGACTGATCAATACGTCGAGTACTGATGCTGATGGCATTGGTATTGTTGCATGCATAAAACCCAGCAACTAAAATAATATGAAATCAAATTTATCTTTCAGCTAAAAACATTATAATAATTGATGCAGCTATGTCTAATTTCATTGTTTATTTAAATAAACAATGAACAAATTTCTTTATTTCTTTTTGTGATATTTCGCTCAACTTATACAAACCAATCAAAAATCAAATCAAATTTATTTCATGTCCTGGATGTTAAATTGACAGTGGTACTGACAAAAAGTTAAGTGAGAAACTTTGACTAGGTCAGCACCATGAACGAAAGAGATAAAAAGAAAAAAAGAGGAA